AGTGAATTTATCTCTCACCTTCACAAAGGAAAGTCAATGGCTGTGATCTCCCTTATCTAACTTCATGATTGTTTTGTTTGCTTGACCCCAGGGAGTTAGTACCTTGTACACATTTAGAATTTCCTTGTAGTTAATTTATGTTTAATGGTTCTGCTTTGTAAATTGTGAGTTTTTATGTATATCATCTTTCTTACATTATTAAATTTTCCTAGGATTTAAAAAGTGGCATTTTGGTTATAACTTTTATATATTTCCCACATATAGCTTTTGCATTCCTCTATACCTTGAACTTTAAATATATTTTTTAGATGGTGGTTCTATAGTTTTAGCACAGGATTCTAACTACTAATTTTCCCTGCTATTGGTACAAAAATCCCCAACAAATGAGGTATATTATCTGAGTTCTACCTCTGGAAAGATTTTATAATGTGTAATTCTTAACATTTTTACAGAGTTAAGTGTTAACTTCATATAGTTGATTCTGGATATCCATTTGCCTTTTGTCTCTAATCAGTCATGTAGAGCTGACTCTTAGAAATTAAAACCGAATGTAATAAAACATACTTAATCATAGAATATACACACCAAAAACTGAACTCATTCTGCTATTTAATCCATATATATGTATATGTATATATATATATATATATATATACACATATGTATATATATATACCAGCTATGGGCTCTTCTCTGTGTTTATCATGTTCAAACCTGGCACCAGCTTTTAGCATTACTTTCTTTGCCATACATGGCCAATCAACATGTAGTTAATCCTACTCTTCCTACATAGATGAAAGTGATGCCTACTTTTCTCCTCAAATTTAACTGGTGCTTCCTGAGTTTGTTTTAATACTCTCTTATACATGGGAACAGTTCCTTTTATGCTTACAATTACCCTGCTAAGTATTTCTAGAAGAAGGCTTTGAAAATTACATTCCTTTGCTCATCAATCATTAATATATTACCCTGGTCTGCATATATTACCTTGGTCTGCAAAATGCAGTCTAAATATAATGAACCCGGCACTTGGCTTTCATTGCCTTTCCTCTCTGCCTGCCCTAAGATCTAGCCCCCTTTACTTTTATTTCCAGTTTATTTTTATGGAGTAAATATGAGATCATAGATTTCATCTCTGTCTGAGAAAATTAGTTCCCTTTTGATTTTTATTATTGATTTTTTTCCCTTAACAAATTACATATACAAATTATAAAAGCATGAAGCATGAATAAATACAATCCCATTTTTGTTACCAGAAAAATTGCCAATATATTTCTTTCTGATGGATTCACAATAGCTCTTCAATATAATGTAGCACAGTACATTTGATCTAATGATACCTGGTTTCTAATTTATTTATTTAATTACTTTATTGTTTTAATGTATACTGCCAGTTATCTTTTATGTGACTTCTCTAATCACTATCTCTCTCTTAACAAGAAGGATTCTAGATATGACCTAAAGAAAAGCAATCAGTACCTCCTTCACAAACGAGATGCTGTGGAGCATGCCTTTACCCCACTCCCCAGATCAGATCCTCTATCAATCACACCTAATTCCTTTACATTCCTTGATTTTCAACAGTATATTCTGGATATTTCCAACTTGTAGAATTATTTAAAAAGTGTTTTTTTTTCCCCAAGAAAAACTAAGGTACCATTGAGAGGAATGAAATGAAAATAAATAATGTAAGTTGCTGTTTACAAGAGTTGAAAGTTGCTGTGTACAAGAGTTGAAAGTTTTGAATATTAGAAAACTTATATACAACTACTGAACAAGGGGGACACAAGTTAAAGATGAACTTGTATGTGGTTCCAAAATTACATTGAAAATGGAGATGCCAGATAAATGAAAGAGAGTTGTTGAAACAAATACTTAACCTGAGTGGGCAAAGTGATAGGGGTTAGAAGCAACTAAGAGGGTCATTTCAAGGTGAGATGGGAACTTGAAAATCAGTAGGAAACCAGAAATGGAACTTAAAGCAGAAGTTAAGAAGCATATGGAAAAAAAAAAAAACAACAATTTTTTTTTCCCAAGGCACTTCAGACTGATTGCAGGGGAGAATGGTAGAGACCAGGGAGGAGAATAAGGAGGAAATTGCAGTATAAGTCAAAGATGAAAAATTGTCAACATAAGTGTGAGAATTTTTTCAATAGCGAGAAGCTACTGGTATTGAAATGTGCCACCCAAATTGGCTCACCTCAGGGGAGCGAAGGTGACAGGCTAATGTCCTGGTAACAGATGGGTTTCTATTCCCTTTCAATAAAGTGTGAAGCAGAGCTCCCTGATAGCAAGTCAACAAATACAAGGGCTTTGAAATGCACTTTTTATTGGAATTTGTGAGGCATGCTTGGATCTCTGACTTACACATACCCTATATATTCTTGGTTGGTGCATTTTCTTTTGTATTTGGAAGAAAAAATTTTCCTTGAATATCAAAAATGTAAAATAAAGATCCATAGAAGTAATTTTTTTTTAATTTGCCATGGCTCAAGCCCTTTGACAAATCTCCTTGGATCATTATTGCAAATTTTGTTTTCCTTTCTTTTTTGCTTGTATTTCAAAATACCTAATAGTGCCTCCAAATAATCTTGTTCTTGGAATTTGCTACTAATAACCTATACCATCTTTTTTTGGGTCTTAGGGTTGCTGAGGAAGAAGATCTCTTTTTTTCTTGAATATTTGGCATCTTTATAATATTTTTTACTATCATTAATTTTTAGACTCAGTGATTGGAAATTCATTTTGATTCTTTTACAATGGCCTCTACATCTCACCTAAAATTGTCTGCTAAGTCTTGTTGATTTTACTATCTATCTGTACTTCAGAAAAATTTCATTATCATGGGTCAGAATTAAAATTTCTTCCTCAAGAATACTGGAAGAGGCTGGTAATATTTCACCTGCTGTTAAGATATGCATTTGCTAAGTTTCAACTTTCGTAGTTTACTTTAATATTCAAGAACCAGCAGGAGATATTGTCTAATAAATGAGCTTCCTTAGACTAGTGTTTAAAACCCTCCAAGATCCTCCTACAAGCATCTTTCAATCATAAAGTTCTCTTATGACTGCAACATCTTCTTTCCAGGAGAACACAACTTGTAGCCATTCTCTTTGTTAAACCCATGCTTTCTTGCACCTCTCTTTTTTAGGACTTTTTATTTGCCTCGGTCATTATTCTTTGCTATGAGAGGATCCAGTGTCCAAAGGGTTAACTATCCTTTCCTTCTCTTCCTTTTTGGGTTTACATGGACACCTCTGGTCCTTCTCTCCCTTCCTCCATTGACACAATGATACCTTTTCTCTTGCAGCAATCTTAAATCATCAGATTATGACTTGGAAACTTGTCCTGCACTCCATTTGCAAGTTCTTCAGCTTGGTATCCATTCATAGGTCACTATCAAGCCTTTCTTGCATGCTACTTCTTATTATATTACTCCCATCTAGTATGTATGTTCTTTGGTTATATATGTGCATTTAACTAGTACTCCTCTTCGATAGCCTGTTGTTCTCTGCAATGTTAGCCCCTGCTTTTACCACTTTTCAAACTCCTAGTTCTTTTAAATTTCCCCTTTTCTCTGTAACTATTATAGTTTTATTAACTTACATGCAATCTTACAGTAGCTGTTGTTGTGTAGAACTACATGTGTGACTCATTTCAACTGTGTGAATATGGACCCATGTCTTATTTATATTTCTGTCTCTGGCATTTAACTCAGTGGTGTGCAACATTTATTTTTAGTTTGAATGAATTGAAATGAACTTCAACATATCCTGACCTGATCGGTGCTCCAAGTTTCATCCCAATCCAGTAGCTCTTCCAGAGTCATCTCCACATGCAACCCTTTGCTCTCTTCACTGGGAAGATCCTGACTTCCTGTGATACCCAGAACACATTGCTGGTCCTATACCCACAAGTACAAGCTGTATTTTGATAAATGGTGGGATCTTTTTTCTTTTCTTTTGAATTGTAAACTCTGTCAGGAACAAAAATCAGTGATTCACTTTTAATGTCATAATACTTAGTGCCTGTGCTTCATGGCACAAAGGGTTGCAAAAATATGGGTAAAATAAATTTGTATACAACTCTTTTCATGCACATAGCACGGAAAGTCAAAAATGCTGAAAACTTTAAGGGGACTTTGGGATAATCTGTCTTTTTCATCTCATGTATTAGGTAATCAAGTTCAAGGAGATTCTGTCATATTTTCAAGGTCTCTGAACTAAGAAAAATTAGACCAGAAACAAAGTTTCTTGAATCCAAGATGATGCTTTTGTTGTGTATTTTCTATTATACTACTCTGTGTTTTCAAGTACCATATAAATTTTTTATATATTACACTGGAAAGAAATTACTTAATTTTTCCCATGATAATTATGCTGGATTTCCAAATATTAATGCTAAGCAAGTATTTAAAATAAAAATTTTTTTCTTTTGGGTAATAGTTTTAACATATAATTAATAATACCCCGGAAACCACACCAGCTTAAGGAATATGATGTGGAATAATTATAACATGAGATCTTTCCATTAAACATATACTGTTACTTCTAAGATGAAAACTACAAAGGTATTTGTGCTTGCATTTAGAATTTATTCAAAAAAGGCGAGGATATTCAATAGCAAATTATTTTATTTTAAAATTAGTAAAGAAAGGTGATAAGTCACATGAATGAGTCCAGTCCACAATTGATATCTATTTTTAGAAAGTAGCCATATTTCTACAAACAGACCAGCCTTTCAATTTTGTTCTCTGGTTCTCTATGTTGTCCATGTGTCAACTGCCACCTTTATGATGCACCTGGCATCAGTTTATCATTGCTGCCATTTTAGAATATTGTATTCTCTCTCTTGGAAAAACTGACAAGCATTGTAAATATTAAAAGTTAATACCAAGTTTAAGCAAGAACATGGCATCGTTTTGGCCACTATGAAACATTGCATTTTCAGAAGAGCTGAAGCAGGTTTATAACATTCATTTAATGTTTTCTATTTAAAAGGTGAATAAGATTTGTGGCCACCAAATAACCATGCCGACACAAAGCCCCCGGTGTTCTTTTGATCTCAGCAAAGAGAAGCATGGGATGAAGATCTTTGCAAGGAATGGTGAAGAGACTCTTGCCAACAGAAGAAAGTAAGACATTTGTTTTACAACCAGAAAGAGATAGAAAGTAAGCCATTAACTTTACAACAAAATGGAATGTATTCATTAACAATGGAAGGAAAAGCAATAAAGATCAGCATGATTGGCCAACTTTAACATGGTTTATTTCCTATCAAGACTGAGCCAGGTGAAGTGTCAAACAGTGGTTCAGGAACAATGAGGGAAAGTATTAGAAATCAAACTAGCTATTAACTAGAACTCTCAGGTTATGAATCTTGCAAATTATTATTTGACACTGGTTATGAATGCCATGAATGAGCTGTTTTCTCTTATCTAAAGTTATTCCCTATTTTAAAAACATTATTTTCTGTGTTTGTTCTGTTTTCTTTGAGTTTCCTTTTTTTATTTTTTGGGTTAAGAGAGCCTCTTACATTCACATGAGACATTCTTGAATATCTGTGACCACTCAAAGTTAGAGGCAAGCAGTATGTCCATTAGTAGGAAAAATAGGATGTAATACTTTGAAGCATTATGATGTAATCATAAGTAATAAGTTCATTTTCATACAGCAAAAACTGTTGTTGTAATTACAGACAAAACTCTCTACTAAATAGAATGATAGCAATAGCCTAACATTTATATAAATTAAAAGCATGTATGAATATAAAATCAATATTTATTGTTAAATAAAAGCTGTCAGAGGCTATTATTTTTGGACTGGGTTTCAACAGATTAAATCAAACCAGAGTCTCTCATAAAAATGTCATTTAATCAAACTGTGGTTTTAAGGAAGCAAATAGAACCCAAACAAGACTTGTTCATTTTTCTCCTGAAGAGAGAAGACTCCTGTCTGATTTAGTATATGACTGCCCTCTGCTCCAACCCTAGAAAATAAGAAGCTTCACAAAACCTGATATTAATCGAACCTTCTTTTCCTCTCTTGTGTCTTGTCCCTCTCTTCTGCTATTGCTTAATCGGAACACTCATTCTGTTTTACAGGATGGTTGTTTCTTCATTAATGAATCCCAGTTAACCAATTAGAGCTGTAACTAAATTTCTTATAATTTTGTCTTCTTACAATAATTTTACAGGGTAACATATGTTGAAATAATTGCATACATTGTAATAGGTATTTATAGAAACATGGTAAATGATAGGATATGTAAGATAAGAAAAATAAGATAAGGGATTAGATTCCCCAAGGATAAATTATGATTAATTATATGGCAGAAATTGAGGAATATGCTTTTCTAAAAAAAATTGCCTGTAAGAAAATACACAAGCTGGGTACCAATGATTTACTCCTATAACCCAGCTATTCAGAACTCTGGGATACAAAGAATAGTAGTTCAATGTCTGTCTAGGTAGAAGAGTCTTTAAGACTATATCTCCAAAATAACCAGCAAAAATCTAGGCTGGAGGGGTGGCTCAAGTGGTAAGTTGCTAGTTGAAAGCAAACAAGCTTCACAAGTATGAGGCTTGCAGTTCAAGCCCCACTACTGCCGAGTGGTAGATAGGTAGGTAGGTAGGTAGGTAGGTAGATAGGTAGGTAGGTAAATAGATAGATAGACAGACAAGTAGAGAATGATGTTTGTATTAAAATATTTTAAAAATCATGGAGTGATAATGTTGAAAGGGGTGACATTGCATTGAGCTCATACACCGCTTTATTGAATGGCAACCCCTTTGTAAAACTTCTTACAGATAATAAAAGCATTTTTAAAAAAGAAATTAAAACACAATTTCAAAGAACTTCCCCTGAAATAATATTTTCTTAATTACAAAATAATGTTCCCTAGTCAGCTTTGTAAAATAATATTTCATGCAAATATAGCGGTTTATATAGATTTTGCAGATTATATAATATAGTATTTATAATGATTATATACAGAAAGATAAAGTACAATTGCCCAAGTACAGTTTGGATTTCCTATTGTCATTAATTAAAACAGAAAGTAAAATTATTGTAAACCATAGGCAAGGGAAAAAATTTCTATATAACTTGTCCAAATCATGAATAAAACAACTGCTCAATGTAATTCAGAAACAGGGAATCTTGTAGTAAGTTCCTGTTTCCTGAGTTAACTTTATAAATTAGTATTATATCCATGACAGTTTTTCTTAGATATTCATTTTTTATTTACTTTTAGAAAGTCTCATGAGAATACCACTAGCAGAAACTATTTTCTATAATTCAAACCCAGTCAAAACCATTAAAGGAAAGTCACAGAACAAACTAATTCATCAGCCTCTCCAGCTCAATACAGTTTCTGTAGTAACGAAAATATAAATTATTAAACACATCAAGGACTTTGCCAGTGTAAATGAAAATAAAGCTAATTTTATGTTTGCTAAACATTTATAATATATTTTATATAAATAAGTCATTGTCTTTTAAAATTATACTGCCATAGTTCATTTTAGAATTAGTATATTATAAATGAAATTGGTACCCTAATTGAGAAAAGAAATCATTTAGGGTGACTGTGACAGAGGAATAGTTTAATTTATATAGTAGTCCAATTTGCAAATACTTTTTCAGAAGTTATGTAAATGTAACTGGAGGAGTAGGAAAATGGCCTCTCTCCATCCTCCTAGGTTGGCTGGAATTTGAACTAAATTGACCAAATGCTTGATTAAGAAAATAACCACCAGTTTACTCATGTATATAGGCCTGGGCTTTCTAGAAAAGTATGAGATGCAAAGAAGGACGGTGGACGGAGGCTCATATAGCTAGCATCCTAAAGGACTGAACAGAAAAGTGGCTTGGAGCTGCTGGCAGGGTTTGAGATAAGTCATGAGAAAGTGATGGGAGAAAATCCGTGCTACATAAAGGACAGTTTACATGAAGAACTTCATAAGTATACATTAACTATACAGAAGAATAAATTTTCTAAGCTACCCCAGTATGTAACTTCTCAAAATGTACAACTTGAAGTAACCAATAGCAAAAGAGTCCTTTTGGATGGCATGCTATGATCTCCTCTACTCATATTTTGAAATGCTGTGTAGCCCAGTATAACCATTGTGGTTTGTTTCTTTTATGTTTCATTTCCTCTCCCTTTCTCTCTCTCACACACTCTCTCTCCCTGTGTCTCTCTGTCTCTGTCTCTGTCTCTGTCTCTCTCTCTTTCTATTTCCCCTTTTTGGTGGGAGGGGCTGGCAACAAGTATTATGTTTTGAGTTTTAAGTTTTATCTAAAATTTAGAATAACAAGTTAATGTAGGAAGAAATGGAGAATAGAAACATTTTCTGCTCCTCATGTAGGAAATGAAAATTAAAGACTCCAAGGCTTTGTTTTTTAATTGAAATATTTGGTTTATTATATAGAGTGATATCTATCTAAATTAATCTATCAACGTATGTATGTATGTATGTATGTATCTATCTATCTATCTGTCTGTCTAGGTAATATCCTGAAGTAATTAAGGCTTTCATCTTACTCTTGGTTTTCTCTTTACTCCTATTTGCTTCTTTATTTCATTTTCTTGCTTTCCTTTCAATTAAACACTTATTTATTATTTTAACCTTTTATAGCTCTTTACATTTGTTCTCATTATTCTCTTAATGATTATCATCAAGATCACAATGATGCATTTTTAATTTTTACTACTTTAAGTTCGAAATTTTACCACTTCATTGAACAATGTTAAGAACTTAGAACACACTCACTCCAATATTCTCCTCCCATTTTATGCTATTATATGAACAAATACATCTTCTACCAACATTTCACAACTTCTAAGACATTAATGTTTTTTTATATTGAGATAGTTACTATTTACCTATAACTACTCACAGTTTATTCTTTTTACTACTTCATCTTTTCTAGCCTCCTGTGTAGAATTATTTTGCCCTTATTGTATCTCTTATTCTCTTTCTCTCTGTCTTTCTTTCTTTTTTGGGGGGGGTTTGGTCGTGGGGCCTGAACTCTGGGCCTGGGCACTGTCCCTCAGCTCTTCAGCTCAAGGCTAGCACTCTACCACTTGAGCCACAGTACCACTTCCAGCTTTTTTCTTTTTGCTTATGTGGTGCTGAGGAATAGAACCCAGGACCTCAGGCATGCAAGGCAAGCGTTCTACCACTGAGCCACCTTCCCAGCCCCTTCTCTCTGTCTTTCTCTGTCTCTCTCTCTGTCTTTCTCTGTCTGTGTCTCTCTGTCTCTGTTTCTCTCTCTCTCTCTCGGGTTGAATTCAGGGCTTTATGCATGCTTGGCAAGTAAATTCCCACTGAAGTATTTCCCTATGCTTTATCAATTATTTGTAATGATGAATGCTTCAGTTTTTGTTTGTCTGTATAATTATTTATTGTCAAATACATTGGTCTGAACTGCTGTCAAACTATCCAGAAGCTATGAAGATCTAAGTCAGAATTAAGCTCAGGACATGACTATGTGAAAGTGCATGCAAAGTTCAGTGGGCCTCATTTAATGTGAGTGGTGCCAAAGGTAGATGCTTCTTTGTTCTACTCAAAGCTTTTTTCCTGCCCATTTGTCAGCCTTATGACTATTGTGTCCTGGAGGCTGATAACCCAAGGCTTTTGTGTTATCTGGAGAATTTCCTCTCAACAAGCAAGAACAGTTAGCATTCTACATCTAATGCTACCTAACAAATCATCCTAAAACGTAGTGGATTTATTGTTCATATTCTGTGGTATTGGGATGTAGGAGTAGAGTAGCAGCAGAGTGGAGACTCAGCGAACTCTAAGGAGACAGCTATGAAGCCCACTGGAGCCTCAGCCATCTGAAGCACAAGTGGGACTGAAGGTTCATCTCCTGAGATGGCTGTTGTCAGGGCCCTCAGATTCTTGTCAAGATGACATGGACAGAGTTGTTCTCACAACAGCTCTAGGAAAGGGCCAGTCAGGTGATCTAGCCTCAAAAATCACACCCTGTCAGCTACACACTCTGCAGCAGGTTATTCAGCTGGGGTCTTCCTGTGTAGACTACCCTACTTGTCAGAGGCCCATGGACAACAAGTACCTGAGGTGACCTGCTGGTGTAAGAGACTTTCCCCTTTCTTCAAGGTAGT